TTGCTTGGGTCTAGGAGTTTGAGACAAGCCTGGACACTATAGTGAGACTCCATCTCTAAAAATATTAAGAGTTAGCTGGGCATGGTGACTTGCACCTGTAGTCCCAGTTACTCAGGAGGCTGAGGTGGGAGGATCACATGAGCCTGGGAGGTTGAGGCTGCAGTTAGCCATGATCTTGCCACTACACTCAGCCAGGGGAACAGATTGAGATGCTGTCTAGAAAGAAGACAGAAAGAGAGAGAGAAAGAGAGAGACGAAAGAAAGAAAGAAAGAAAGAAAGAAAGAAAGAAAGAAAGAAAGAAAGAAGAGAAAGAGACAGACAGAAAGAAAGAAGTAAAGAAAGAAAGAAAGAAAAAGAAAGAAAGAAGAGAAAGAAAGAGAGAAAGAAGAAAAGAAAGAAAGAGAAAGAAAGAGAGAAAGAAGAAATAAATTAATTAATTAATTAATTAAGAAAGAAGGAAAGGCGCCAATTCCCTCATGGGGACAAATAACGCCTGCTCCACCATTACTTCACAAGGCATCTTCACTGCATCTTATTTACCCTTAGTGTAAAACTGAATTCCGTTGTTACTGTTTGTGCAAAGTAAAGTGGCAGATTGTTTTTGATGATCATTCCTGATTTTGAGAGTCTTTTGGCTTCTTTTAAGATGTACTTCAGTGTTTCTTTTTTTTTCATGTATTTTCAGCCATAGATATGACAAAAGTAAAGCTATCATGATGTGTAATCTATAATTATGAATAACGATTATTTCAGGACATATGTCTACTTAACTTGATAGCTACTTTTTGAGAAAATGAAGTATAAATTTAAGTATTGTAAATCAGAGTTTAAATGCATTATGAAGATATTCTATGATGACCCTGTCATTAATGGTTTTAATTTTATTTATTTTTTTGAGACAGGGTCTCACTCCATCATCCAAGCTGGAGGACAGTGGTGCAATCATAGCTCACTGCAGCGTCGACCTCCCAGGCTCAGGTGGTCTTTTCACCTCAATGCCCCACAGTAGCTGGGACTACAGGCATGGGCCACCACGACCGGATAATTTTTTGTATTTTTCATAGAGAAGTTGTTTTACCACATTGCCCAGGCTGATCTTGAGCTCCTGGGCCCAAGCAATCCACCCACCTTGGCCTCTTAAAGTGCTGGGATTACAAACATGAGCCACCGGACATGGCCAATCATTTTATTTTCTAAAAAATTAAAAATTAAAGAGAATCCTCTGCAAAGCAAGGAATTATCCCTTATTCTATCCTGTCTTATCCTTATCCTATCCAAGCTACATTCAAGTGTCACATCTGGTTTCTTGAGTGACATGATTAAAAATACAAAGTCATAATTAACAGTAAAGGGCAGGCTGAATCACAAAGGTCCTAAAATGCACCCACCTTCTCACTACATTTGAACTGTGTTGGGCAGGATACATGCAGTGGAGATGGGAGTGGAGAGGGGGAGGAAACTGGATGAGCAAATGAATGAATGAGTGAAAGAACAGATAGTAGGACTACTTTCTGGCAAAGCAAAAGTAGAAATTCATTTCACGAATCACTCCATCTTTTTGGAACTGAGTTCTAAGGGAGCAAAATGATGCAGAAAAATATTATGTAGACAATATTATGTAGACACTTCAGGCTACTTTGATTAGCCGGACAGTTTTTTGGAAGGCCATGGAAGTGCAGCAGACAGATCAGCCTGGCATTCAACAGTGAGAGATGTGGTTGGGTGCAGTGGCTTACACCCGGCACTTTGGGAGGCTGAGGCAAGCGAATCACCTGATGTCAGGAGTTCGAGACCAGCCTGGCCAACATGGTAAAACCCCATCTCTACTAAAGATACAAAAATTAGCCAGGCATGGTGGCAGGTGCCTGTAATCTTAGCTACTCAGGAGGCTGAGGCAGGAGAGGCACTTGAACATGGGAGGCAGAAGTTGCAATGAGCCAAGATTGTGCCATTCATTGCACTCCAGCCTGGGCGACAAGAGCCAGTCTCCATCTCAAAAAAAAAGAGAGAGAGATGAGACAGCTCCTGCCATGGGAAAAAGAATCACGGAGGTGCCAAGGCAAGCCTACATGTTCAAGATTTATACAAGTATCAAAACTGAGATTCAAGGGACATTCTTAGAGGTTCAGGGTCAATCCTCATCTTTTATCCACTTAATATACAAAGAAACAATAATCATCAGCATTATCACTTTCAAATTCTCCTTAAGGGAACAACATGGCCAGATCACCGATGATTACTGGGGTTTACTGCAAGGATATATCAGGCAGCAAAGGATATATTGCCTCTTTAAGCAATAACAGGGCTTCTAGCCCTCACTGCGGTCTAGACAGCTCAGTGCAGCGGAAGAGAAAGAACAATAGCTCAGTGTTCTTTAGGACACGGCCTGGGTACAGGCTTCCATCCCTCCTTTTCACTTACCACTTGAGCCTTCCAAAAAGAGTATTGAGTTGGTTTGTCCCCATTCAAATTGGGAGAGTTTCACATCAAGCCACCTCCAGCTTGCGTATGGCTGCCTTTGCCTGCAGATCAGTCCCCTGGCCAGCACAGTCATCTGCAGATAAGGAGTGTGGTTGGTCTCTCAACACAGATGGCACAAGCCAGGGCAACCTATGCAACCTATTCAATAAAAGGCAGCTGTAGGCGTGGGGAAGAGCTTATATCCCAGCCAAACCACACTTGCTGCGGGCAATGCTATCCTGGTTATCAGGGTTATCTTTGACCTCTCCCTCTAAATATCTGACCAATCACCAACACTTGTCAAGACTTCTCTGAAATATCTCTCAGTCTTCCCTTCCTGCCCTCTTAGGTTAATACAGACATGCATGGTGCTCAGAGCCCTCTTCAAGAAATAACTTGTGGCCAGGTGCAGTGGCTCACATCTGTAATCCCAGCATTTAGGAGGCCGAGGTCAGAGGATTGCTTGAAGCCAGGAATTTGAGACCAGCTTGGGCAACATGGTGAGATCTCATCTCTACCAAAAAAGAAAGAAATGACTCGGCAGGGTGCAGTGGCTCACGCCTGTAATCCTAGCACTTTGGGAGGCCAAGGCGGGTGGATCACGAGGTCAGGAGATTGAGACTATCCTGGCTAACATGGTGAAAACCTGTCTCTAAAATAAATAAATAAATAAGTAAAAGAAATGACTTGCTGGCCAGCTACAGGGATTGTGGTTTCCCAACAGCCTCCAGCTGTCAGCTCCTTCGGAATCTGCATCAGGTTTCAGGCCAAGAGTTTGCTCTTCCTGGGGGACCCCCAGCCAGTGACTGAACAGGATGGTGCAAAGGCCTAGCCGTTTTTGCTGGGTGCTAGACTCCTGAAACAGGCAGTCTCTGCTCTGAGGCTCCTCAAGGGGCTGGTGGACTCTGTCAGGCCTGCAGTCCTCTGACGGCTCCAACTTGCCCTATTCTTCTCCTTCCCTTTCCCTTAAAAGGACTTAATAAACTTTTTGTTGTTCCAACTCCTTCCTAGCACCTGCTTCTGGGAGAACCTGACCGGTAACTGGGGCTCCCTTGCCCTAACCCTGAGGGTATGTCAGCTTCCACTGTTGGAGAGAGCTGTGTAGTTTGAAAAAGTCTCCCAAGACCCTGCCCCGATCCCACTGATGCCGACATACTCCTCTGTCCTTGAGGCACAATGGAAAGTGCCCTAACTTTTCACCTGGAGAGGAGAGGTCTGAAGGGAAACACAAATGATGTGTTCAGAACTTGATTAGCCATTATGTGACTACGATGAAAAGTGTGTGCAAATTACCAGATTTGGGTTCAAATTTGTAATTTTTTAATTTTCTTTCTTCTGTCTTTTCATTTTTTTTTAATTAAACCCGATGCAGATGCACATTCTTTTTTAAAACAATCAGAAGTGTTCAACAGAAACAGTTGCTGCCTACGTTGGGAACTCTTGTCATTGGGCTGTTTGAAATGCCCAATGGGAACACATGACTGGTAAAGCCCAGGTTCTACGATTATACCGAGAACTCCACATTCGTTCCTTGCTGTGGGTAACACAAAGGAGAAAACTGTCTTTGATTTTAATAGTTCACAATCTAGTTTGAAAGACCCTGTCTCAAGCAGAGCTGATTTAAAGTCATATTACATATAAAACTGTTAGGCTGGTGCAGTGGCTCATGCCTGTAATCCCAGCATTTTGGGAGACCGAGGCGGGCGGATCACCTGAGGTTGGGAGTTCAAGATCAGCCTGATCATCATGGAGAAACCCCATCTCTACTAAAAACACAAAATTAGCTGAGCATGGTGGTTCATGCCTGTAAACCCAGCTACTCAGGAGGCCGAGACAGGAGAATCACTTAAACCTGGGAGGCGGAGGTTGTGGTAAGCCGAGATCACGCCATTGCACTCCAGCCTGGGCAACAAAAGCAAAACTCCATCTAAAAATAAATAAATAAATAAAATTGTTTATAATATTATCTCAATACTTTGCCAATATCAAATGTCTATGTACTTTCTCAATGTGTGAATTCTTTAAAACATACCTAAAAACTAGAATTGAGCTAAACATGTAGGCATGTGATTTAGAAGCAGGAGGGCTCTTGTTCGGGTAATCCGCTCCCTTTTGCTACAGGTTTGGAAGGACTAGAGTTCTTTGACCTTCAGGTCATGGAAATAAGAATCATCTATTTCCTTGGACTCTTGCCTGGGTCGAGGCCAGGTTAAAAAGGAGACTGGGAATCATTAGAGGTTGTGTTGTAGGAGATTTTAATTTTTGAAACAGTAATCAAAATTGTAATTTGGAAATTAAAATTGTAAAGGGCTTAAAGGTGAACAAAAGAAAAGAAATAAAAAGTTATAAGGATAATATTTAAACTTGTTCATTTCTTTTTATTATGTTAATTAAAAATCAGAGTTATAGTAACCAATACAAATATTCATTCTCTACACTAATCCTTAGGAATTTTTTTCTTTGACCATGGCTAATACACCGTCCTTGGGAATTTTTTGATATTTTTAAATTAAAATAAATAGAATGAAATGGGATGGAATTTGACAAAGTCAGTTTCTAGATCTTAGATCTTGTAGGGGAGAAAACTTGGATGTGTTAAACAGATCCCATATTGTTCAAGTTTATCCACATAACAATTCCAGTAATGTAGATGAATAATATCTGCAATGATACATGCAAACGTAGATGAGGCTAGATTTAAAGTAACATGAGTTTTAGATTAGGTAAAGCTTAGAATGCAAATAAAAACAAAAGTGGGAGGCAGGAGACCATAGTGGCTAAAATGCCAGGGTCAGAGTCTGGCTTCAGTTTGAATTCAAACTCTGCCTCTTCCTGAAGAATCCTGAGAAAACTGAACAAGTTACTTCACCCTTGTGTGTCTCTGTTGTCTGTAAAATTAGAATAACGGAAGCTACCTGCCTTGTGAGATTTCATATGTAAAGCACTTGGCACAAGTAAATTTCCAGTTATAGCTGGCACATAGTGAATGTCCAATTACAGAAAACGATCTATAACAAAATATAACTTTTAAGTTAAAATCTTATCACAATTTCTGGCTGGTGCATGGTGGCTTACGCCTGTAATCCCAGCACTTTGGGAAGCTGAGGCAGGTGGATCACCTGAAGTCGGGAGTTCAAGACTAGCCTGGCCAATATGGTAAACCCCATCTCCACTAAAAATACAAAATTAGCTAGGTGTGGTGGCACACTCCTGTAATCCCAACTACTCAGGAGGCTGAGGCAGGGGAATTGCTTGAACCCAGGATGCAGAGGTTGTGGTGAGCCGAGATCATGCCATTCCACTGCAGCCTGGGCAACAAGAGAGAAACTCCATCTCAAAAAAAAAAAGTCTTACCACAATTTCTAATTTTTAAGTGGTTAAGTTGTCAACTAGGAAGGGTAAAAACATGAGAATACTAGTCATTATTATTGAGCCAAAAATAATACCAGGCACTTTGTTTACCGAGTCCTAATTTTCACATTACACCTAGTATCATAATCTCTATTTTATAGATATAGAAACTGAGGATCGGGTCAGAGAGGTTGCAAGTGACTCTAAAACCCAGTTCCTGATCATTATGCCATACTGCCTCTAAAGAGTTGTGACACAGGCGGGGCATGGTGGTTCACGCCTGTAATCCCAAGGCTTTCAGAGGCCAAGGTGGGTGGATCAAAAGGTCAAGAGATCGAGACCATCCTGGACAACATGGTGAAACCCCATCTCTACTAAAAATACAAAAATAAGCTGGGTGTGGTGGCGCGCACCTGTAGTCCCAGCTACTTGGGAGATTGAAGCAGGAGAATCACTTGAACCCAGGACACAGAGGTTGAATGAGCCAAGATCATACCACTGCACTCCAGCCTAGTGACAGAGTGAGACTCCATCTCAAAAAAAAAGTTGTAATTCAATCACATTAAGCTATAAATAAAACTGATTTTTTGGTCTCACTCTGTTGCCCGGGCTGGAGTGCAGTGGCACAATTACAGCTCACTGCATCCTCTAACTCCTGGGCTCATGCAATCCTCCCACTTAAGCCTCCCGAGTATCTGGAACTACAGGCGTACACCACCGTGCACAGCTAATTTTTAAATATTTTGTAGAGAAAGAGACTTGCTCTCTTGCCTAGGCTGGTCTCAAACTCCTGAGCTCAAGTGATCCTCCTGCCTCGGCCTCCCAAAGTTCTGGGATTATGGGTATGAGCCACTGTACACAACCAAAATGTGCTTTCATGGTTGATTTACAATGGTGAGAGAAGAGGAACTACCTTCTGTTTCAGTAGGATTTTAACACCTTTCACAGCATGATTAACTTTTACTCACGGGTTGGCTGCATCGGTCTTAGAGTGACTTGGAGAGCCTGGTCCTTAGGCACCTACTTGATTGAATGACACGCAAGTGGAGGACTCCACGGTTCTCCATCCCTCTCTAGGGTGACTGTCTCTCTGGATTTGCGGCACTTCCCGCCGTTTCTAGAGGAGGCATACCACAAGATACAGAAAGGCGTTTCAAAGGTAGAGAAATGAATTTTTACCTTTGAGAGGGGTCAGAAAAGTTATTAAAAAGAGTTATTCAATAAAATAGTAACATGCTGGCTTGAAAGAATTGTCACTCACATCAGATCAGCAAAATGAATCCTCAAAATATTGTGTTCACTTTAATTCACCAAATGATGAATAACAATCATTTTGCTTTATTTATTTATTTATTTATTTTTGAGGTGGGGGCTCACCATGTTGCCAAGGCTGGTCTTAAACTCCTGGGTTCAAGCAATCCATCCACTTCAACTTCTCAAAGTGCTGGGATTACAGGTGTGAGCTGCCATGTCCACCCACATTTTTTAGCTACTTTGTCTTATATCTTCTTTAAACAACGTAGTGCTGTACATGGACATTCAAATAGATACACCAAATAAATTAGGGGAATTATTCTCTCTCCCTCTTTTTTAAAAATGAGGAGCAATTTTTATTTTCTTAGAGGCCTAAGATTCCTTGAGGCTGGGAAAAACCACTTCAGGGTTCCTCTGAGATAAGCTCCCTCAAAATACTTACTTGGTATTTTAAAAACTCACAACTAATGAGAAAAAGAACCCAATGAAAAATGAGGAAAAGATGAGAAGATACGCAAATGGCAAGTAAGAACATGAAGAAATGCCCAATATATCATTAGTCAGTAGGAAAATGTATTTTAAAATCAAAATGAGATAATAGGACACACCCACTAGTGGCTAGATTGAGTCTGCCAATAAAAAGTGCTGACAAAGTTGTAGAAAAATTGCAACTCTTAGTTACTGCTGGTAAGAATGCAAAACAACCAGTTTGGTAGTTTCTTATCAAGTTTCTTATAAAGTCAAACATACAGTTACCATATAATCCCTCAATCTCACTCCTAGGTTTTTACCCAAGAGAAATAAAAACATGTGTTTACACAATAGCTGGCATGAATGTTCATAGCAGTTTTATTCATAACAACCCAAAGCTAGAAACAACCAGATGTCCAAGAATGGGTGAAGGTATAAACACATTGTGGTATAGCCATACAATGGAATACTACTCAGTAACAAAAAAGAATTAATTAAATAGACCAACACGAATATGTCCCATGGGTTTTTTTTAATTCAACCAGAGCCTTTTTAGAGTTTTTTTGGTCTTACTTTTTTAGTTTATTTTCTTTTTAGCAATGGGATCTTGCTATATTGTCCAGGCTAGAATGCAATGGCTATTCACAGTCAGAATAATAGCAAAATACATCCTCAAACTCCTGGGCTCAAGCAAACTCCTCCTACCTCAGCCTCTTGAGTAGCTGGGACTTAGGTGAGACCCACCTTGCTCACCTTGCCCCACTTATTTCTGACAAAGGTGCAAAGGCAATTCAATAAAGGAAGGATTGCTTTTTCAACAAATGGTGCTAGAGCAATTGGATGCCTATAAGCAAAAAAAAAAAAGAAAGAAAGAAAAAGAAAACAAAAATAAACCTCGATCTAAATCTCACACCTTACATAAAAATTTACTCAAAATGAATTGTAAACTTCATACTAAAAATACAAAAATTAGCTGGACTTGGTGGCGCATGCATGTAATTACAGCTACTTGGGAGGCTCAGGCAGGAGAATCGCTTGAACCCAGGAGGCAGAGGTTGTGGTGAGTCAAGATCGAGCCATTGCACTCCAGCCTGGGCAACAAGAGCAAAACTCCATAAAAAAGCAAAACAAAAAACAAAACATCTAATTACCATATAACCCATCAATTTTACTCCTGGACATTTATCCCAAAGAAATAAAACCTATGTTCACACAAAAACCTATGTTCACACAAAACCTACGTTCACACAAAAACCTACGTTCACACAAAAACCTACGTTCACACACCAAAAAAATAATGTTTGTAGCAGCTTTATTTGTAATAGCGCATACCTGGAAATGACTCCAGTGTCCTTCAGCCAGTGAATGGTTAAATAGATTTAGGTATATCCTTGCCCTGAAATACTGTTCAAAATACAAAGGAACCAACTACTGATACTTGCAGAAACCGGGATGAATCTCTGCAGAATTGCTCAGAGTGAAAAAAGCCAATCCCAAAAGGCTACATACTGTCATTCCATTCATATAACTTTCTTTAAAAAAAAATTATTTTTTTTATCTTTTTTTTTTTTTTTTTTTTTTAATAGTCGGGGTTTTACCATGTTGGCCAGGCTGGTCTCGGACTCCTGACCTTAGGTGATCTGGCTGCCTCGGCCTCCCAAAGTGCTGGGATTACAGGTGTGAGCCACTGAGCCCAGCCTCATATAACATTCCTAAAATGACAAAATCATAGGAATGGAGAACAGATTAGTGGTTAGCAGGGATTATAGAGTGAATAGGGGTGGGAAGGAAGGGCTGTAGCTTTAAAAGGGCAATATGAGAAATCCCCATGATGATGGAAATATTCTGTATCTTAAGTGTCAAGGTCAGTTGACTTAGTATGAATGTCAATATACTATCTGTGATTTTATACTATAGTTTTGCAAGACTTTGCCATTGGCATAAACTGGGAAGAGTGTATGTGGGATTTCTCCATATTATGGTGCTAAGTGAAAATAGTCAGACATACTGTAGTATTCCATTGTATGGCTATACCACAATGTGTTTATACCTTCACCCATTCTTGGACATCTGGTTGTTTCTAGCTTTGGGTTGTTATGAATAAAACTGCTATGAACATTCATGCCAGCTATTGTGTAGACACATGTTTTTATTTCTCTTGGGTAAAAACATAGGAGTGAGATTAAGGGATTATATGGTAACTGTATGTTTAACTTTATAAGAAACTTGATTTTTAAAAAATCTTACAGAATACTACATACTGTATGATTTAACTGCTTTTTAAATTTTTTTTGAGATGGAGTCTCGCTCTGTTACCCAGGCTGGAGTGCAGTGGGGCGATCTCAGCTTACTGCAACCTCCACCTCCCACATTCAAGTGATTCTTCTGCCTCAGCCTCCGAGTAGCTGGGATTACAGGCATATGCCACAACACCCGGCTAATTCTTGTATTTTTAGTAGAGACAGGGTTTCATTGTATTGGTCAGGCTGGTCTCAAACTCCTGACCTCAGGTGATCCATCCACCTTGGCCTTCCAAAGTCCTGAGATTACAGGCTCGAGCCACTGTGTCTGGCCTTATGATTTAATTTATATAAAATTCCATTTATATAGAAAAAGCAAAACTATTAACAGTCATTGACAGGGACAGGGGGTAAGGAGAGGCATTTGAATGCAAAAGGCCATAAGGAAAATTTTTTGGAATGATGGGATGTTTCCTATCATGATTCCAGTCATAGTTACGCATCTAGGTAACATGAGTGAGTTTTGTCAAAATTCATATTGTACACTTAAAATCGGTGAATTTTCTTATATATAAACTGTTTTAATAAATACGATTTGAAAAAAATTTAAACATATCTAATACATAAAGCAAAATGTAAGTTCTTTAATCCTTATGTACCATTCATTAAATAATTTACATATTTTTCCAAAGTACAAAGAATCTGCAGGTCTAGATCTGAAATATAAATATCAGGAATAGGCTGGGTGCAGTGGCTCACACCTGTAATCGCAGCACTTTGGGAGGTATAGGCAGGCAGATCACGAGGTCAAGAGTTCAAGACCAGCTTGACCAACATGGTGAAACCATGTCTCTATTAAAAATACAAGAATTAGCCGGGCATGGTGCTGCATGCCTGTAATCCCAGCTACTCAGGAGGCTGAAGCAGGAGAATCACTTGAATCCGGGAGGCAGAGGTTGCAGTGAGCCAAGAGCACACCACTGCACTCCAGGCCTGGGTGACAGAGCGAGACTCCAGCTCAAAAAAAAAAAAAAAAAAAAATATATATATATATATATAGTGTGTATATATATATATATGTATATATATTCATATATATTTATATATATCAGGAATAAATTTTAAAAAGAAACTAAAGTACAAAGCAACTCTCATAAACCTAATTCTTATTTTAATAAATTCAGAAAACAAGACATGGGAATTACTGTACATAGTAGGTGTAGTCAATAAATATGATAAAATTTGATGACATATCACTTTAGCAGTTAGCCATGCAAAAAGGTAGCATGCTGATATGGTTTTTACCCTGTGTTCCCACCCAAACCTCATCTTGAATTGTAATCCCCACATGTCCAGGGAGGGAGGTGATTGGATCATAGTGGTGGTTTCCCTCATGCTGTTCCCATGATAGTGAGAAAGTTCTCATGAGATCTCATGGTTTTATAATTGTTTGGAAGTCCCTCCTTAGCGGCACTTCTTTCTCTCCTGCTGCCTTGTGAAGAAGGTGCCTGCTTCCCCTTCCACCATGATTGTAAGTTTCCTTAGGCCTCCCCAGCCAGATGGAACTGTGAGTCAATTAAACCTCTTTCCTTTATAAATTACCCAGTCGTGGGTATTTCCTTATAGTAGTGTGAAAATGGACTAATACATTGGCCTACTGAAAAAAGAAGCGTTATACCAGATCACTTAGATGACCTAGAGTCACAGAATCCCCAAAAAGTATACAAATTAAGTGACAATTTTAGAGCTACTTTGGCCACTATTGGTTAAGATTAGGTTTGAATGCCAATGTCAGAAATCCCAAGTAAGCTAGAGCTTAACTATATAAGGTTCTATTCATTAACAATAACTATGCAGAGGTCATCCATTTAGGGCTAATCCAGCATTTCCAAGTCGTGAGAGCCCCAGACTTCTTCAACTTTGCTGCTCTGCTCTCCTTCCTGTGCTGCTTCGACCCTGGTTGGCTGTCCAGGCTCTTTATCATGTCCACATTCTGGCCAGCAGGAAGGGGAAGGGACAAAGCAGGGTGCTTTGCTTCCCTGTAAGAACACTTCTTGGAAGTTTCACATGGAACATCTCCTTACATCTCTTTGGTCATCACTTAATTGCACTGCCACCTAGCCATGCAGGAGGCTGAGAAATATGGTCTTCATTTTAGGTAGCTATGTGCCCAGCTGAGTATTAGAAATTCTATTAATAATAAGAAGAAAGTATATTGGGAAAAAAACTTGTAGACTCTTCCACAGGCCATATTTATATTTTCTTCTTCAAAGTTTCTCAGTGTAAACTCTGAATAAGAAATATGACTTTTCTATAAACGTCTAAAATACTCAGTACTCACTAATTGATTCATCATTCATGTAAGAAACATAAATACTTTATTTTTGCAAGAAACTGTACTAGGTGACATATTATTAAGACAAGGACATTGTGGAGGGAAAAAAACCCTTCATTATCAATAGAAATAAAAAATACCCCATGCTACAGATACTTCATACTGGAAAAAAGAAGAGAAAGGGGGGGAAAAAAACCTTATATTGATCTATAATTTTAAACTTCTGTAAAAACAATCTGTGCAGCAAGAGATAAAATTTTGATATTAATACTAGGTTTTATTATTATATACAAACTTTTGGTTATTTGGATTTTTTCAGAAATACACTTGAAAATGATATTTGAAATTTACTTTATTTTAAGACAGGGTCTTGCTCTGTCACCCAGGCTGGAATACAGTGGTGAGATCATAGCTCACTGCAGCCTTAATCTCCTGAGCTCAAGCAATCCTCCCAATTCAGCCTACCAAGTAGCTAGGACTACAGGCATGTGCCACCATGCCTGGCTAATTTTTTAAATTTTTAGTAGAGATGAGTTCTCCCTATGTTGCCCAGGCTGGTCTTGAACTCCTGGGCTCAAGCAGTCATCCCACCACACCCTACAAAGTGTTGGGTTTACAGGCGTGAACCACCATGTCTAGTCAATATTTGAATTTTAATAACCCTTTTAAAATGTATGTCTTGGGTCTGTGCCCTAAATCATGTAAATACTTCAAAAGAAAATAATGTCTCATTTATTTTCAGTATAAAATAATTGATTATGCAAGTCTCCTTTTGTACCCTATCTTATTTCATTCCTAAGCAAATCTATCCAGGGTCCTTTGTAGAGAAATGAACATAAAGAAAATATACTGGCACATGCATGCAGTCCCAGCTACCTGATAGGCTGAGGTGGGAGGATCACCTGAGCTCAGGAGGTTGAGGTTGTAGTGAGCAGTGATCGCACCACTGCACTCCAGCCTGGGCAACAAAGTGAGACCCTAACTCAAAAAAGAAAAAAAAAAGGAAAAGAAAATTTACTCAGTTTTTCTTAATAAGAAATATTTCCTTGGCTGGTCTGAAGTTAGTGATTTATCTCAATTGATTGTTCACAGTCAGTTACAGATCAAACTCTTTCTCCCTTCTTACTACTGGACTTAAATACTCTTAAACATTTTTTTTTTTGAGAGAAATAAATACTTCCTGAGTTTAAATACTTGGAAATTTCTGGGTTTAAATATTTAGAATGTGTTTATTTGTGAATTTCATTTATTCATGTTATTTTCATATGTAGCAGTATTAATAATTTCCAAGATGCTGTTTTCTTCTTTAAAAAAAAATCAGTTTACTTACTGATTATTCTTCCATTCAACCAATCTTTACCAAGTACGTATAAAGAGTTGGCTAATAAAGTTGGCCTTCTATATCCACCAGTTCTGTATCCATAGATTCAACCAATCAAGAATCAAAAATATTCAGAAACAAAATTGCATCTGTACTGAATATGGACAGACTCCTTTCTTGTCCTTATTCCCTAAACAATATAGTATAACAACTGTTTACATAGTATTTACATTGTATTCATTACTATCAATAATATGGAGATGATATAAAACATATGAGAAGATATGAATAGGTTATTTACAAATACTACACCATTTTACATAGGGGATGTAAGTATCCATGGATTTTAGTATCCCAGAGGAGCCCTGAAACCAATACCCATGGATACTGAGGGGTGACTGTATACTTGCCCCCTCACCCCACATGTGACTTTAAGTTAGCCCAGAAGTCTCTTCTTTTGCTTCCATCTTTTCAAACTCAGTATCTGTAATATCTGGCATTTAAGCAGCTATTTAATAAGCATCTATTCAAAGACCATGTGAATGAAAGAATGCATGTGGCTTTTCCAGGACCCAAATCCAATGATGATGCTGTTTTAAAAGACATAACATTCCAAGGTGTCATCAAACATTTTACTCACATTCCTGCATCCCCAGGTCCTGATATTATTTATTGGTTCTTCTAGAAAGCCCCATGAGATGTTCCAGCAAAGAAGAGAATGTCATAACCAAGACCTCATAAAATGGGCTCTCTATTCTGTCTCTTTCCAGTAGGTATTATTAGGTGCTTTCCCTGGATTTGGTATTCCCTTTATTCTCAGGTCAAGTCCAACAGCTACTTCTCCCTGACCTCTGACTCTCAAATAACTGTAATAAAACAATCAAACCTTCCTTGTCAGCAGCTCCGGGTTAACTGTTCTTTCTAAAGCTTGACCTTCATACTATTTCCATTCCCTACTTTCTCATATCTACAGATGCTGCCTACCTGATATATTTTAACTTATTTATGCTGCTTATGTGCATAAGCTATTGCTAGGTGCTACTGCTGTGACAGAAAAGTCACAAAAGAAAGGGGACCTCACCTTGTAGATTGCTTAGAGCTTTTTACAAATAGTGCTTCGTTTAAAGAAAGTTCAACACATGTATCCTGTTCTTCTCCTGTTAGTTATCAATTGGGATGATCTTATGCTTTTTACTTATTCAGTTTTTAATTGTCCAAGCCTGCAATCTACCAAATCTATTAGCCTAACTGAAAAATCCATGTTTAACAAGTAAGTGTGAAACTGTGTGAAAATTAATCATGTCAAAAACATGGATCTGATTCAGCCAGAATAACCACCTCATTTCTTATAGAGTGAGTTTGGGTTATGTTTCTTAACAGTCACTGGAATATTAAAATATTTCAGGGAGTCCTGAGGATTTCATGGCTAAGAAAGTGTGGTGAGTCCTTCTAGAAAACAGTTTTAGGCCAGGCAACGTGGCTCATGCCTGTAATCCCAGGCCAAGAGAAAAGGATCGCTTGAGTGCAGTAGTTCCAGACCAGGCTGGGTAACTCCATATTGATTTAAAAAACAAATAAACAAAAAACTCTCATAGTTTCAAGTTGAAAGCAATTGTTCCAAATAAGGACCAAGGAAGCTAGAATACAGAAATTCTGCTCTTAGGTCCAGGAAAAATTGTATATCAGGACCCAAGAAAACTGCCAGAAATTCACATTGCCTTTATTC